CTCTGAGGCACAGAAGCCGGTAGCTAGGGAACCGTGAGAAAGCTTAGGAAGTATTGATTCAGACATTAGTTGGGTTTAAATTAATCTGTTCGCCTTCAGGAAAGATTGATGCTTTGCTCAGTACTTCAGATAGCATCTTACCATATGTATATATAAAAATTAAGCACTGAAACGAGCAGAGATTTTTCTTTAAATCAGAATATACTGATTTATAGTGAAACTATACATTGTGGTTTCACTGGTTTCTGTGGGTTGTGCTAACTTGATGGACAGGGTAGAGGCAGTTTCCAAAGTTCTCTTTAGTTACATATCTGACTACTACTAAATTATTACACAGTTAAACTGGTACCTTGCTAAATTTTGTCCTTTAATTAATTTAAGGATAGTTAGTGGTCTGTTCAGACAACTAAATACCATTAGCAGAAGAAGAGTGGCTTCAGATTGTGAGAACTGACCCAAGTGTCAAGGTCTGCATTCTTCCACAGGATGAGTAATTGCTTGTGGATGAATAATCTTTGTTGTTCCTAAGCGTCTTTGACAAAAACCTTTCTCAGTCCAAACAGCAGTTGCTCTAAATGATGTCTGTTTGGCTCTCTGTCCTTTCCATGAATAGGCTTCAGGTGAAGAGATGAGTCAATGAGCTTGGCATAAATTTATAATGTTCAGTTAGATTGGCATGATGCAAAAGTCAGCACTCTACACAGGAGACTTTAAAAATCTCTTTAAAGGAGTTTGTTTTTTTTTTTTTTTAAATCCAATATATTTGTGTTACACCAGAGACTAAGTCGGTAAATTGTAGATTATCATCATCTTGATAACCCAGACACAAAAGTCGGGCATAAGAGCAGTCCTTAAGTAGTTTTACTCTTGCTAGAACAGAGAAATGAGAGATTAGTGAAACTGTGAATTAGGTCTAAAGTTTTTCTGTACCTGATGTTAAAGTTTATCTCGGAACAGAATGTGTAATTTTGAAATATGCTTGTTCTCACAAGCATTTTAAGTAGATGAAGGATCACATTAGTGATTTTTCTTTGGAAGTAATTTATTTCCTTAGACTGATTTGATTTGAGTTTTGACCTTTTAAGACTTTTGATCTAAATCCATTTAAGATGCTTCTCAAGGGCTTAAAAGACAATGAAAAGTCAGCAGCTTTCGTATTAAAAATATATGAACTGTTCAGAATGAAACATTTAATTCCCACAAAAGATATATCTTTAGGGATACGTAGCAAAGCAAAAGTTAATGGAAATTTGAGGAGAAAATCAGCTGGGTCTCTATCTTGCGTTGTGCTCACTTGCCTGTGCTATGTACTGCCTAGCCATTTTCCTATCTGTGGTTTTCAGTGTTGTGCTTGAGAATAATTCTACAGCCAAATTGGCTCAAGTATTATGAAAATTTAGATTATCAAAGAAATGGTCTTACCCTGTTTCATCCTCTTGTAATTAACAATAACATTTTAGACCACCCACACCAGCTCTTCTCTTACCTTCTTTTTTGTGCCATATGAAGGTAGTTTAAGTAGGCGGGGAGGAAAGCTTTAGATCTTCTGAACTACATACCGTATCTGATAAAGGATGGATTCTGGGATTATGAAACCAAGCATATAATACCCGTAATTTAGAAATCTACTGTTCTGATTTATTTCTAGTCAGTCAAATTGTCCTCATGAACTATTGGAAGGTCAAGTTTTCACTAATTAGAACAGATATGTGTCTTAAATTATCTGGAAAATATGTAACAAAAGAAATTCACAGTAAAGATTTTCAGTGTAGCACTATCAAGTTTTCACTTTGGCAGTAATTTCAGAGGAAATAATGTGGTGTGTCTTCACTGTTTATACTGATATGACTATTACCCAACATATTGATATTTACAAAACCTTTGCACTGGTACCTGACTGCATTGTTTCACTTGTAAGCCATTTACAGGCCATTTTCCTATGTATGTTTCAGCTTGTGAAGCGATAGGTAGATGCTCATCCACTTTCCATCATAGATGCTCTCTTCATGCAGGACAAAATGCAGAATTTTATCTGAGAGTACATTATACAGTAATTATTAATATATTCTTCAGCAAAATAATAGATCTTGTAAAAATAGTAGTATGGCAGTAGAATTAGCACAGCAACAGAGCTTGAACAGATCCCCAGCCTTGAAGCAGTATTATTTTTCAACATACCCAGCACTGCAAGATGCCAGCAAGTGCAAATGTCTTTGCTTTTACTCTGTGTGCCACGCTGGTTTACTACTGAAGGATAAGCAAAGCACAGTTTATTGCAGCAAGGTTTCTGTTAAATCTAGTCTCCAGTGCTGTTTTCCCTGTTTCAATGCACTGAATCCGCTTTCTTGCAACAGGACTTCCTCTCTGTTATGGGCATACAGTGGGGAATAGATGAGTGGCTTCAGCCACAGGAGACTTTGGAGACAGCTGGTTTTCCCTTGTATCATTTGTGTTCCACTCTGTCGAAAGTAGGACACATCTGTGGAAAGATGGTAGCGGAAGGAAACATCCAGACGTCCCAGTAGTTGTGTCTGTATGAATCAGCAGGTTGGTTTGCGCTGACAGAGATGGATGCAAGATGATAAACCCAGTATGTTTTTGTTTACACTAGCATTCAAGAGAAAGCATGAGGCTCCTCTCCGAGGAGCTGCTGATCTGGCTGGGCAGAATGGAGAAACCAATCTCGGCATCAAGATGTTTTAAAATGCTTGTATTCATTACCAAACACCTGCAAATGAAATTAGAGTAATAGCGAAAGGAGCAAAAGTGATGTTGTTAAAATGGTGTGAAACTGAGCAGTCCTGTGATCTTGCAGTGGTGCAGATGTAGAGCGGGCAGCTGGATGGGGCTGAGTGGGAGGTGGTAACAGGATCACCGGGTGTTCAGTAATTAGTCCTTCAAACACCATTTCCTTAACATGTAAGGAACTTCTGGTTTAAACATAGTGATGGTTTTCCAGCACGGTTCAGTCTTCTATACGTGTTGTACCTGGGACACAGCTCAAACCTGTTTTAACCCACACATGGTGAGGAGTAAAGAAGCATCAGGGTGGACACCTGTAGGGAATGAATGATCTATGTTTTGCACTTGTAACATTGAAAGAGATGCTGAGCTGAGCCATGAAAGAGCATAGTGACAGAAGGAGGAACCTGGAGTGATGCTTAGAAGCAAGTTGAAGAAGTGGCAAGGATGGCGGCAGTACTTTTGGCTGAGAAAAGGTGAAAAATTTCTGTCATGGAAGCTGCTGGTGTCTTAGTCTGACGGGTACTCCAGTGGCCAGGCAACAGCTGAGGCTGTGAGCCTGTTGTATCTAGGCATGAGAGACCTATCCTTGAGAGGGATTTTCAGTTGGCCTGTTTTCTGTGTGTTTTTCACCTCAAGACTGACAGTGAATCTGTATGTACTGGATGAGGTGGACTTTCTGGGGAGCTCAGCAAGGCAGGGCTGCATCAGGGTGGAAAGGTAGACACCGGCACTGGCTGCTTTGCCAGCAGCACATCAAGGGCTTGGCATTTCTCTGGGGAGCACTGGCTCCACTTATTCCGGTGCTGCTCAAGTACAAGGTAGAACTGCAAATCTTACAGCTTACTGCCATTAAGGCAGCATTAGGGTTTGGCAGGGCTTTCACACATGCATTTTACTGGTATTTGTTGGGTTACCTTCTCTTTTAAATATATTTGAACTTTGGATTTCCATGTATCCTGAAATCAGGTTTGGGACTTCACAGTGATATCCTGCTTTAAATTTTGTCCTGTTGATACATCCATACCAACATAAGGAAGATTTCTGCCCCAGGAGTGGTGAGGGTTGTCCATCAGTGCTTAGCACATTCCTGTTTAACCTGGGGCTGGCTGGTCATTTCTTAACAGAAAAGTTAGAGGAGAAGTGCTTTGTTGGAATTTGCTTTTGAAAGTCAACTACATAGGTCCTCTGAAACATTTCAGGGTATCTGTTGCCTCACCATCTTGCCATTCATTGCCTAGCTTTCACCTGTTGCAGGCATCATTCTGGTTTTCCTGTCAAGAGGGTCACATCCTTCACATAAGCACTCAGCTGATCTGAAAATCATAACCCAGAAAGATGTTCAGCGCTCTGTGATGTCTTCTCTTCAAGTAAATATCATTGTTATGGCTGGTGTCTGCCTAAGTCTTCTCTCCCAAAAGTACATGGTTCTTGACTAGAAGCAATTGATGTTGCAGCTGAAAAGTTCCTCTAGTTACAGTTATGAGGTGTTGTCCCCTTAAACAAATGTTAATTTTAAAAAATTTATACAAAAAAATTGTAACAAAAAATAAAGTTGCTAGTATTCCTTTAAAATACATTATATTGTTATCAGCCAGATGAAAATACCTGATTTTATACCTGTTCCTCGAAATGTAATTTTCACATAGTCCTTGGAATAGAGATACGTCTTCTTTTAGTACCTCAGGCATGGTTTACTTCTGGTCTGATTCTTACTTTCATTGTCTAATTAGAAATGCTACCTCCTTCTAAATATTTCACTGTATAGAAAAGAAAGTATGCACCTCTTTTCTTTATAACTTTTCTTAACCTTGGCACACTCCATAGGCATTACTAATTACACCCAAAGCGTGCAGCAGATAGTTCATCAATGATGTAAGGACTAACTTCCATTTGAACGTAAATCTTTACAAGCATCATCTTTAGCTCAAAATCCTGCTGCTACAGCTCTTTTTGTGCTGTGTGATATTCACACGAATGGTTTTGGTATGACCACTTGAGTAGTAAAGACGGGTCATTTGAAGATCTAGATACAAGGCAAGTGTTTAAATTCAGGAATGTTCTTGTGTTACTCTTCTTAAGACCAGGCTTGGGAAAAAGCACATCTCTGAGTGTGGAACTTGGCTCAAAGATCAACAGGGATCAAGTTTTTTCAACATTTGTTAGCTTTTCATAAGGCATTATGTGCCATGTTTATACTGAGATGCCACCCATTTCTCTGGAAATTCTTTAATATGAAGGGTTTTGTTATTTTTCAGGTGTTCAAATGAAACAGTATTCAGAAAGGAAGATTTGTTTTGGGCATACAATTTCTGCCCCACTCCATACTCTTGGACAGCACTTCTGGGCCTTATTTTGTACTTGATTTTCTTTGCTCCTGGTAAGCAAATGTTTGTTTTCACATATAAGTTAAAAAATTGTAAAGGTAAAATGTTGAATAGTGAGGCTACATGTTAAATTTACTTTTGAGTTCAGCCATTAAACTGAGATTGGTCTTTTTTCCTAATTCCTAGGGATGGGTCCTATGCCCTGGACTGTCAATTCTGAAATTTACCCACTTTGGGCTAGAAGTACTGGAAACGCATGTTCCTCTGGAGTCAACTGGGTTTTCAATGTGCTTGTGTCACTGACATTTCTGCATACGGCCGAATATCTGACGTACTATGGTAAGAAACAGCGTGTGTCTGTGTATGCAGTACTACCACTGATTTTCTGCTGAATCTGGGTAACTCAGTTGGTTTTGCTATGAAATGTCAACTGTGAATGCAGTGTTCTCAACACATGGTGGTTTAGTAAGACAAGAGACCTGATACCACCTTCCTGGTTCATAGTTTCGTCCAGCTTTCATAAGAAACATTTTTTTTTCTGTCCTTAACTGAGAACCTTGACAGTTGATTGAAACAGGGGAGCTGGAAAAAAACCACTTTTGACTTGTGAAATATGCCGATTCTCACTTAAGGAGACAGCATATGCCGTTTCCCAGTTTATGATGGCATCCAAGGCCAATATCAGATAGTCCTTGCAGCAATATCTGTGTAAGATGCTACTGACCCTCTCCCAGCTGTTGATTAAGTCCTGTCTGCTGGAGCCTGTGGAGTGTTTGTCAGATTACTGCTCAGCCACTCCAGTACAAGTCATTTAAATTACATTAAGCTGCTAGGGAGCTGATGTGACCTTCACATCATTAGTACAGAGCCTTTCAGCTCTGCTTGTCATTCCTTTGAGTCATCAGTCTAGAAACGCATGGCAGGTAAATGTTTGTTGGTCCTTTGGTACCTTCTCTGCCCTGCTAGGTAAGGTGGGTGGCGGGAGGAATCAGCTCTTTATCACTGCTAATTGTCTCTGCAGAGGAATTTTAAATAACAATAAGGTATAAGAGTCACAAGCATTACTTTAATCCTGACTCTATCTGTTTTGCTAAAGTTTCTTATTTTAGGGGCTTGTCTTAGTGTTTCCTTTGCTGTTAAGATAAACTAAGGAAGTTCGTGCCTTTCATATCTGCTTTGTTTTATTAGGTGTGCAACTGTTTAATTACTGTTTATTTTAACAGCAGAACTACTTGCCCAGAAAGGATATGTATTATCTTCCATGTGAAATGAAATTGCTTTTTTGAGAGAATTGTTAATTCTCTCTGTTGTGGAATGATGCAATAAAGCGGCCTTCTACACCCACGGCCCCGCAGCTTGTTCTTTTAACAATGCCACTCCAACCTTTGCTTTTACATACTCCTTTGATAACTGCAGCCTGCTGCTTCTGCTGCTCCCTCTGCTCTGGAGCAGAGAAGGGATGGAAACTTCAGTAACTGACTGTACATATTGTTTTATGTTGCAGGAGCTTTCTTCCTCTATGCAGGGTTTGCTGCCTTGGGACTGGTTTTCATCTACGGCTGCCTCCCTGAGACTAAAGGGAAAAAACTAGAGGAAATTGAATCTTTGTTTGAAAACAGGCTATGTACATGTGGTATGTCAGATTCTGATGAAGGGCGGTATATTGAGTATATTCGGGTGAAGGGAAGTAATTACCATCTTTCTGACAATGATGCTTCTGATGTGGAATAATTTTCAGCTGCTGATGTATTTAATCATTTAAAAGCCTTCTGGGGGAAAAGCAGCTCTCTGATGACCTCACTGCCCTGCTTCTGGTCTGGTTCTCCTTTCTACTGTCTAGTTAAAAATGCATTCATGTTCAAAAATGCTCCATTTTGGAGGAAATTCAATATGCTAGTGTTTTCTTGATAACTGAAAGCAATGGCTTCCAAAAGGGATGGAATTCCACAATTATGTGAATTCACCAAGTGTGCACGACATCACACCATCCCGAGAATTTAGTAGGGTGCACTGTACCAGATGAATACAGAAGGCTATCCTAGACCGTCAGGGGTTGTCCTTATCTTCAATGCTGATAAAAGGGAAAATAATAGAGTAGCTAGTCAGAAAGCAGCCGACATCTGTTGGATCCCCATCCCATAGTAGCCTAGGAGATAGCTCTGCTGTGCAATACAACCAATGACAAATGCATAAGCTACTGCAACAGTAACCATTTAAAAGATTTAACTGATAGGAAAATACAAATATCTGCCATATCTATTAGAGGGAACATTTCCCAAATTTATCCTAAGAGAATTTCCATTTTTATTTATTTGACATAACAAGTAGAGAGCCATACTCACCTGGGTGAATGTTCACTAGGGTGGCATACGTCTGTGTTACACCAGGTTATCTAGCCACTGCTGCTCTTGAGTACACACTACAGTCAGGAGTTAGTGTTTGTGAGAGAAACTGCCACAATTAACTACCTGACAGTAGGAAAACGGAACTAAGTATGTGGCCACACGTACAAATGAACTGGTATATATTTCTAAGTACAGTGTAGAGGCTTCAGTTAGTTCAGAAAAAAATATTTTTCTTTTCCCTTTTCACATTTGAACGTTTGAGTTCATGCTGTGTCCAGTTTTGAACACAAAATATCATTAGCTAAAAGAAAGGAAAGGCGGGGAGCGCTTTCTTGCTGCTAAATGCACAGTGGTGATCTGTCCTGCGCCTTCTGCAATCATATTGCCTTCAGCACATTTCTCCTTCAAATGCCCTTAGTCAGAGTGTCTTGCTGTATCTAAAGAGAAGTAGTAGCAATGGGCAGAAATCTGCATCTCATATTAATTGCCATACTGAAGCATTTCAAAATTGTCAAGAAAATGTCAGGCACAAGAATAAATTTGGCTGCCTTTAGCATGGTAATGAAAATATGAATGGGATTTTATTCACCTGCCATGATTGCTTCCCTTGGCAAATTGAATTTTATGCAGCTACGTAAAAATATTATGTTATTTTTTTTCCTTGCCCTGTTCTCACTGCTTTAAGTCTTCAGAGATACGAGTTTGAAAGCGTCAACAATTCAAATTCTTATCTTTGAAACATTTGCTTCATGAAAGAATGTGCAAAACCTCCTCTGCCTGTGGGCTGCCCCTCATTTATGTGATAAAAGTACATTTATTTTTCATTGTGTAAAGATTAAAGAAAGTTGTTGGGTTCAGTAGCTTTTAAAGATTTGCTTTGTGGGCTTTTCTTGGGTTGAAAAATACTTTGAATGTAGGATTACTCTCAGAATTGAGACTGGACGTTTGTTACTAAATTATTTTTATTGGATGACGTGGGGTTTTGTTGTTGTCAGTCTGACATGTTATCTGACCTTCTGTGGGGGAAGTTCTTACTCTCCAATTATTCACCTTCAGCTATTGGGTGTATTTTGCATTATTTTCTCTTTTACTTCATTAATCAAAGAAATATTTTTCGAAAGAAAACATTTTAAAGCATCCTTCTGTGACTTGACTGGGACTAAAAGGGTAAAGCATAGCGGACAGAGGTAATTTCAAACGAATCATTGCAAAGAGTGGCTTGACCTTGAACATCATCTTGTGCAGGGAGAGGGATGGATTCTCATGCCTTACATCTTGCCTCCCCTTTAAGCACATAATATTTTTATGCTTGAAAGAACCTGCTGTTGAAAATGCTCAGGTCTCCAGACATATCTGCAAATGCACTCGCCAAGGGATGTCCCCATTAGGCTGTTACCTCTTTGAAACCTTCATCAAAGGTGCAGTACCTGAAATGAGAAAAGGGATACTTGGCACAGACGAGAACAAAATAGTTTTTGGGGTTTTGTTACTGAAACTGAAAAATTTGTGTTTGAAGACTCTTCTTCAGAATAATTATCCAGCACAGTGTGTGAATAGGTGTGTAACAACCAACCTGTGCTTATGTGGTTGATAGGGTTAAGTGGGTATTTACTGGCTTTTGAGAATGAGGACTTAGGGTTCTGATCCCCCCAGAAGCATAAGCCCGCACTCACCATGACACCTGTGAATGTTCCCTTGCTTGTCCTGTTTTGCTGGAGCGGGGTGTAAGCCAGAGAGGGTGTCCCTGTGCTGGCATGATGTCAGTGCTGACCTCAGGCTTTATGGCACATGTATCCACAGGTAGGGGAAACCACTGCATCTATTGGGTATAACCAAAGCAAAGTCACTGGAAAGATCGCTGTCACAAGATCAGCCTCTTCTGTTTTGCAGGCAGCGCTTGGGCTTTTTAGCAGCAGAAGACCATCCCTCTGCCAACCTTGTTTCACGGATGTTCTCAAAAGTGGCACTCAGTTGTGTGCAGCACTGGGCTTGCTTTCTCACACAAGTTCAATCTTAACTGAAAGCAGTTTTCTGAAGGTTTCCATCCCATGCTTTTTTCCTGAAGGCAAAATGATTCAAACACGTGCATTTTATTCATCTTTGCTACTGGTTGTGAGGGTGCAAAATATATTGGCTTCTTTATTGTCACTCCCCCTTTCCCGCCTGCAGAGTTGGGTTTAAGCCTTCCTTTTAGGGTTGTTTTACACCAAAACAACATTCCATACCTTAGAAACACAGAACCTAGTACCAAGCATCATGTGTAATTAAAAGGAGATTGAATACTTGAAATTAAGCAATTAGGGTTTTATTTTTAGAATCTGTGAACATTTATAGTGTATGAAGAAAATTAAATAAATGTTTCTATTTTGCAAAGATTTTTTATATTTGTGCATATTTTAAGTTTTAGGAGATTTTTGCTAAAGGTAGACTTAGTAACATTCCAGATAAAAGAATAAAAATACGATGTAGCTAAATAATTTCTTATGACAGGATTTTAATTTATCAAGTAGCATAAATAGTATGTCTAAGCACAATATCGTTTTATTGAAAGCTTTCTGCAGAAGATGTGAAATTGTTTCTTCACAAGGACTGCACACTTAATTCAGGTATTCTGTGCGTCAGGAATGCTGGAGTAATACTGCTGGTAGAGTTGGGCGTATAGATTATACACAACAATTGAGGTATTTCAATTCTGATTAATCTACCGACTCTACATGTTGTGTTCTAACAGCAAGTATTGAAGAAACAAGTCCTGATGCATTTTTAATCTTTTTAAATTTAATTCATATTAATTCACATGTAGTAGTTTGTTAACCATGTTTAAATTCAAAAGTGTTGGGGGGGTGTCAGATATTTGCCAGTTGTTTCTTCCCCTTGTCACTTTGTTGATCAAAATCATCTTTTAACAAGAGAAGGAAACCTGTTTTGAAAATCAACACAGAAATAAAGCAAGGCCCCAGGACTCTTTTGGAGGGCTGAAGTCGCGTTGCTGCGCATGCATCTTAGATGGATCGTGCTCATAGACATTGCTACCTTGTGAGTTGCAGTCACAGTCCTGTCAGAAGTTCTGGGACAAGAGAGGATGTATCCCAAGGATCATTGTTCCAAAGCAGACTTCTTTTTACTTGAATTGGTAAATGCAGTATTTCACTGGTGTAGGAGTTAGGGTTGGGAGGGGAGAAGGAAGAAATGATGCATCAAAAGCCCCACAGAGTCATGTTTTAGTAGAGATGGGTGTCACAGTCAAAAGGAGCTGACTCTGACTTGTCTCCCACATGGGTGAAGGATGGTGGGACCAAGGGACAAGTGCTCCTCTCCTGTGCCTACGCAGAGGTGAGAATGTGGCAATGGAGTTTGCAAAGCTAGTACTTTTTTCCTTGGTGAAATCTCTTTTGCCCTTCTTAGTCACTCAAGTTGAACACTGGAGAGAAGTTTTTACTTTTGGGGGCTGCTACAGGCCCTGAGCAAGGGTCTTTCCTTTGGCCATGAGAATGTTGGGTACAGTCCCACAGACATGCAGTGGGCTAATAAAAGATAGACCCTGTACTTGTTAGCTTTATACCCAGCTTTCTACCCTCAATGTCAACACTCTTCTAACACGGTCTTCTTGAAAGTTTACTTGTACTTGCCTAAGAGGCTTTGTTAGTGGAACATTGCTACGCAAGAAAGAGGCAGTGTCTTAACAGAATAGAGGGATCTCGGGGTAGAAATCAGTTCTGCAAAGCACTTTAAAGAGTAAGGTATTTGTGCACTTTTTTCTGAGAGAGTCAAGCTAACCAAACCCATTCCTCTGCATTGGGAAGAAAATTGCGCTTTGTGTACCAGGCCAGAAGCAGATAATGCCACAATATGTGCTTTATGGCAAAATGTGTTTTTATTGCGGGTAACATTTACAGCTTACATGTAGCTGCTGCCTATAAAGTGACTCAATCATTCTCTGGATTTTAACAAGTCACATTTTTGTGCAAAAATCTTATCTTAGTGGTTTTCTATCGATCTTCATCGCCTTGTGTACAGTACAATTAAGCATAATCCACAAAGTGGTCTAGGTTGTGGCAGTGTTACAAATGTCAGCACAGTAAAATCTAGGTGAACATTGTTAAAGAAATATTGTTGTTTGTGATACTGGGGGTTAAAACTCCTTAAAGGCAACTACATATAGATTTTAAAAGTCTGAAAAAAATGGCAGTTCTTATCTATTTTGTGTATGTTTTCATATAGAGAAGGAGTTTTTTATGTGCCAATAACCATCACTGTAGTGTTTTGTAAATGGGTGTTAATAGTGTTCCAGAGTTCTGTATATGAGAATAGACTTTAGCCACAATGACCTGTTAGTGTGAACCAGCAGCATGTTTTTAATCTTACTCACACCTCTCATCGGAGGTGCACACTCATTGGCTTCAGTAGAGCTCACTCATGACAGGGGAAGTTTGACCAGCATCAGGCCTCAAGAATACAGATTCCATCTAAATCCCCTCCTTTTCACATGGTCCCCGGACAGTAGGTTACATGTGGATGATCTGGCACGTATAATTATATAGCTTCAACTCCAGTTCAGTTACATTCCTCAATTCTGTTGAGATAGTTTGTCAAAATTTGGTTTGGCCATCCATCACATTTATCTAAATAAGGGGCACACATTAATTATGAATATTGTCCTCCTATTTCTGAAGGAAACATCAGTTTCTGAAGTGTTACAATAAAGGCAATTTTCTCTTGCTGCCTTAAACATTACACAGACTTTGGAGAGGACCGAATGTATGGCCATCATCATCACTTCTGCAGCAGAAACTTCATGGATCCTCAGCAGGTGTGAAACGCGATGGTTTTGTGGTGCTGGGATGCTGCATTAAGCTGCAGGCCCTGCCTAGCGCGCGCCTGCCATCTGTTCAGTTTTAGGTGTTAGAGCAGTCCCCATGAAATGAATAGGATTTTTCATATGCTTGATATTCTCCTTGTGCTCAGTGTCCTGCTGGTCCAGGGCATGGCTGGGAAGTGGCACGAGTCAGATCTCTGCTTTCCATCATGAATCTCATACCCCTACAAAACTGTTAAGCCGATCTTTCTGTGACAAATTCTATGTAGAATATTTGAGACTTCATTGGAGACCAAATTGATAGTAATAATTCCACAGTGAATAATAACATGCATGTGGTGCCATCACACATACTGTAATCCCTGGGCACGTGTTACGGTATTCAGTACAAAACAGGTTTTGGCAAAACTAATTGTTCGGTTGTCCAAGTTATTTCTTAACCATGTCAAACATGTGCCATTTCTTTTTGCAACCAGTCAAGCCTATAATGTATGGAAGTGTTGTACATTTTCTGAAACTAAAGTGATGTAAAATTATTTAATTGACTTCTGTTCTGATTGCTTTAATGAAGTTTGGTCTTTACATAAAAATAAATATCTTCAAAGAATTGTCAGTGCCAGAAGTGTAAATGAACAAAATAAAAGGTGAGATACTTAATTACAGGATCTTTCTCAAGGTTTCCTTTTTTGGGTATTTGGGTTGCCTTTTAGAGTTGCAAAATTGCATTGCTTAGCAAAATGAGCTAAAATAGCCCCTGGGATTGCCTGAAATAAGTGAAGGGTAAGAATAGCTTTGAATATGATCTTAATACGATATTTTTCAAACCAGATAGTGTTTCTGTGGTGATGGCACACTGGAAGCGTCCCTTCCTTCCTTGAGGATTTGTTTGGGGAGCTGAATGCAGCTGTGCAGAGCTGCCGACTGTCCTGGTGTCCCCCCATGGCTTTTCAATGCCTCCTGCCCAAACACAGACGAGGACAAGTTTTGTGACAGCAATTTGTACCTTCAGACTTGATTATCGACTGGGGAAAGAGCAGTAGTTGCTATTTTCTAATGGTGGAGTGTCCTAACTCTGTGTGTTTTATTAAGAAAATAGCTTAAACCAGTTTAATGATTAATGAAGAGCATCACGACCTTGGCCGTGCCGTGCTGGGGGCTGCCCTGGCTGTGCTCCCCAGTGCGGTGGAGGAATTGCACCTGCTAGACAAAGTGGAAATTGGTCCTGCTACTGCCACCTGCCACAGGTACCATGATGGAATCCTTGTGAGATCCAGAGTTGCCTCTGACAGAGATGTAGCCTTTTGGTCTGGGATGCAAAGAGATCCCAGCTGGTGTCAGTACAGCTGGTGGGGAGATGCTGGCAGCAGGAGACTGCTTGGCAAACCTGTATCTGTGGTGACACATCTCTGGGAGGGGAGAGAGGAAGCTAATAATTGTGTACTGACAGATTATGGTTTTAGGTTTCTGCCTGATAGTGCTTATAAAGGTGATGAGTAGCTGTGGTTCAGATTACTTGTCACCAAAACCACATGGGCAGATTTGTGGGATAATGAAAAGCTGGTGGCTCTGCTGTCAAACACTTCGGTTTTTTGCATTCTCCCATTTCTCTCTACTGTAGCTACTATCACAAAAAAAACTATTGATGGATTGGTTTCTGCTGAACGGATTCTGCCATCAGCAGAACTGAACTGCAGGCAGTAGCTGTAGGTGCTCCCAAATTTTCCTAAGCATTTTCAGGATCAGATGCCCCAGGCATCCAGGCTGGGTGGTGCTGCATCCAAACCAAAGTCATCCATACAGGTGCTGCACAGCCTTTGCTTTGTGCATAGCACAAGGTGCTTGCTTTCAAGGCTGCTAAAGTTTGTAGGAAGTAGGTGGGGAAGTTAAAGGTAAGCTTAAAAAAAAGAAGTCCTTTTTCTCTGATCTCAGCGGTCCCCTGCTGAGTTGTGCTGGACTGGTTGAAGAAGCTTGCCAGTGATCACCCTCTGAGCTTGTGTCCCTCCAGCCACCCGCTGCCATGCAGAGCTCCCTTGCATAAACGTACTTGGGCTCTTCAGCTGCTGCAGTTTCACTTCCAGCAAATTCGTCTGACCCAAAATGAATGGCATCTCAACCCTTCTTCTAATGGAGAGATTAACGCGTTCAACCATCCAGCAACCAGATGAAATCTGTGGGGAAATAATAATGTGCATTTGCCATAAGCAGTTCCACCAGTCTCATCGTGGGGCTGTTCATTAGCTTATCTCCAAGGCAGGTTTTCACTCACTTGTTTAACATACGTGACCTACCCGATACCTCTGTGTGTGTGTAGTTAATTGAGAAGCTCTGCATAGAGCTGAAATTTGGAAGGATTTTGCCTGAGAGTTAACTGCAGAACTACCAGAAACATTTTCTGCATCTTGAATTTGATTAATAAAAGGCAACAAATCCCCTCAAGAGGCTTACAGAGGGAGGTGGGGTTGTTTTTTTATAGAGCTCTTTGGGTCTGGGTTTCAAGGAGAATACAAGGATCCATCTGTTTTTCAGACAAGTGAGACCTGTGCCTTAGTTAGCACACTTTTGAGTTTGGGTACTGTGATATCCCATGAAAGCTATAATAGAATCCATAATGCCAAAAATAAAAGCAGTGTGTCTTATATGGAGCAGTAAGATGTGTATTGTATGAAGGAAGAAAGAGGAGCACATATCCAAAATGACCTGCCCCCATTAAGACCATCACCACTCGGGGATGGGCTTAGGTGCATTTTATTGCAAGTAGAAGAGGGGACAGGGAAATTAAAAATTTCCAAGCAAGCCCTAATTTGTGGATTATTCTTCAGAAGCTCATGCTGAGTAAACAGATCTGCACAGGAGTGCAGGAATTGTGCACAGGATAAGAAGATGGTGCCAGGGACCACATCCATTGGAGGAGGACTCAGATGCGAGAAGGAAAACTTAAGGCACCCTCCCTTCCAATAAAGCAGTGCCCATCCCTGTTGGAAAGGGCTTATGCACTTGCTTAAATTTCACCAGAGGTGGGGAAGATCTACGCCTGGAGGAGCAGTGAGGTTTTTGGGGCCTCAGGGAGGTGGTTGGAGATAGAGATGCATGAGCAGTTTGAGAGCAGAGGTGCCTGGATTAGCTAAACTTTGTAACAAAGGTGATACGTGAAACTCCGATTGGATCAGGTTGCTGAGGGAACATGGGCAGAAAGAGCAAAGAGCAAATCCTTAGGAGGGGTTGGAGGAAGGAAGCAGGGCATAAGGTCTGGGGGGCTGTTAGTGAGGCAAGTGTGGGGACATGGTGCATGAACACCTCAGCATGGATTGCTGTGTCTGAGCAAGTCAGTGTCTCTTTCCAGAGCCAGTCCCTCTGTGCCAGCTGAGCATTAAGTGAGAAGAGAGACGGGATGTCTCACCCTGCAGACCAGCGAGCCTTGTTTACTGTCCTCCTCTCCCCTTTGAGGGCAAGAGGACAGGTACTGGGCGCTGTCACCCTCTGGTAGGTCAACTGCATTGGAGTCCTTTGGTGCCAGTATTTGCCCCCTGTGGTGCCATCTCTATGCAGAAGTTGGTTTTCCTTTTTTTGACCTTTTGATAAGTAGATTGAATGGTCTAAATATCTCTCTAAAAGGTGGGGGTTTTTCCCAGGACCTCAGATATTCATAGGCTTGTTCTTCAGTTTCGGGGGGTTTTTTTAATATTTCTGGAGCACTGCACTGCAGTTTCTTAACTGCTTAATCTATTAAGACCTCATATGTAGAGAGAATTACCCCCAGTTCCCCTGCCCAGCTCCCTGTCTCCAGACACATTTGCTGGTTCGTGCACGGTGACACGGCAGGGGAGCAGGGTGGGCCCTCAGCACCACGCTCTAGGCCAAGCCCTGCTCTGCTGGCATGTCCTGCCCTACTCCTTAGCAGGGTGCCCACACGCTTGAGGACATTGCAGTGCAGTTTGTTTAAATGGACCCAGTTGCTGGTTATTTGCTTGTAGGCTGTCAGTGGTGTTGTTCACTGTCTCCCTGATCTTGTTACTGGCGTAGTTCATCGTTGCCCCCAGATACCTGATGAAGTGATCCTCCAGTCTCCTAAGGAAGGGGTCCTCCTCACCAGGCGCCCGTGCAAAGCCCTTCCCCATCTGCCGCAGCGGCCGTGGGTGCCCCGAGGGAGGAGCACGGTGAAGCTCCTGGAGGTGACAGGGGACATCAGCACCCCAGCAGTGTGACAAAGGCTCCCAGAATACTCAGAAACCCCAGTGAGGGGCATGGACGAGGCTGGTTCAGACTTCATACGCAAAGCATGAAGTGTGAGTGCTGAACAGGCAGCTGTAGTGCAGCTGAACTGCATTTGTTTTAGTCTTTTTCTCCAGAACTGTGCGAGGGTTTGTATTACAATGCTCAGGGCTGATGCTGCCCTGCCTCATCTGTCTTACACGTGTCTCTTCCCCTTGGGCCGTGCTGTGGCATTTGCGGCCTTCCCACCCACACAGCTTTCCTTCTTCTCAAAGCCATTTCCACAGCTGAGGCTGTTGAGACCCCATGTCCCCGGCCAGCTGTCGCCAAATCCCTCATGCAGCTTGTCCATCTGAAGCTTTCACTCAGCGTCACTTAGCATCGCTGTAGTTGTGGAAGGGGAGCAGTCACATACCATGCTGTCCTGCAAACACCAGCTGATGTCTCCACCCCCACAGTGGCAGCCGTGGCCTGCAGCGAGTGGCCTGGTCCCTGCTGGGAAGGAAATGGTGATTTGGAGGAAGCCTTGCTGTGAAATTGGTGCTTGGTTTAATCTTTTCAAACCCCATCTGACTGCTTCTGACGAGCTCCTTCATTTTGTCCAGGGTGTCTGATGTGATAGTGTGCCCTGTCACTGCAGTCAGAGCCAGCCTCTGATGCTATGTGGCTTCCCCCCTGCCCTCCTGGCATTCGGGGTACCCATAGCCCTGTGGTTGGCTGGGGGGCAGAGGGTGAGGCAGCCGCACCATGTGGTATTGGAGCTAAACTGGTGCTGGTGTCCCTGCCACTCGCCTCTCATGGGCTGTTAAAAATGATGGAAAAAATCAAGAGCAAAGTCAAGTTTTTGTAAGCTAGGTGGTGGATGACTGCCACCCCCGGCCTGGTCACCAGCTGAGGTAGCTTTTATGTTATCTCTGTATGTCACCTCTCATTATGGTGGGTGGGATTTACAGGGAGACACAGAGGGCAGCGGGACCCCCCAGGTCCTTGGTGGGAGAACCATGAGTGCCCGTTGTGAGCCAGGCCCCCAGGCACCGCTGCGGGGCTGCGAGCTGCGGCTGTGGCACTCAGGGACCAGCTGGTGTCAGGGTGAAATACCTCTGCTCTTCACTGCTGCAGGGAAACGTGGGTGAGCGGAGGCAGGAGATGTGCTCCAAGAGGTGGGGGCAGGGCAGCAGCACCCAGCCTTGTTCCTCACGCACCCCCAGGTCTCCTTCCTCCAGCCCCGGGCTCCTGCCCTGCTCACAGCACAGGGAGGAAACCGCCGCAGGCAGCGCCTGCCTCTGCAGCAGCCCCTGGGAGCAGGCACCGCTCCTCTGGCATCACCTACCTGGCACGATTTGTTCCCCCATCCTCAGCCCAGTGTGTGGTGATAGCAGCCAGTCATGGCTCAGAGCATCCTGCTCCAGCTTGGACGCGGCAAGCTCCAGGGATCCCCAACAGCCTCAGCTGGTCTGGGGTTCTCTGAAAATTCGGAGTGCAGGTTCTCCAGAGAGCAAATGTCCTTCCAGACCTCCTGTTTCCTGAGAATTACTCTAGCCCGGGGAACAGAGTTAACCTTCTGCAGTATGATGTATTGGCTTGTCCCATGATCAGCTGCAGCTCTGGGTCCTTTTGCCAGGCCAGTCCCTGTGTGCTGAGTGTGACACAGCATCAGTAAATCACAGCCCTCTCTCTGCAAGCAGTTGATTTGGAAGCGTTTTATCCCAGCTCTATTAAATATAACAGCAGCCCTCTTGCTGTTATCTGCCTCATCTTCACTGACTCTGTCTTTCAGCCCAAGATTCCCCATGGAGCTGGTGTAGCAGCACCCTCTGCAGCTGCCTGCCTGCTGCGCGGGAGCTCGCTGCAAGCTTTCACATCCAGAGAGCTGCAGCATCCAGAGGGAGCACTGATTTGAGGTGTAGGGTGTGAATTCACAGCAGCGTGGCTAGGTGAGAGGGTGAGCATTTGGTATTCCACTCACGGACTTATGAGATCTTGCTGGTGTTCAGTGTCACCAGCCCTGGAGAAGCAAGCTCTGATTTGGGTACCTGGGACTGTCGCCTCTCCCATCAGAGGCTGTCGGTGAGAAGAGGCTGCTGAAGCATTGCAGAAAGGTCATTCTCTTTTGTGGGGAAAGATGAGGCATTGGATGCAGGGAGTTGAGTATTTTTTCCAGGAAACTCATCCTTCCTGAATCTGCTGTCTGCTAAAACCCTTAAAAAGCCAATTCACAAACACTTTCCACCTGAGAAATAATCACTTTCTATAAAGACTTCAGCTTCTCATTTCCCACAATGATAATTCTTCACAAAAATGAAATAAGGATTTCTACAAAGTTTGTTGAAGCTCTTGGCATAATAACATCCAGCAATAAACTGACCCATTAGTGAAACAAAATTTCTGTTGGTGCTTGCCCAGAAAACCTTACCTTGCAGGTTACTGTAATTAGAGCTGATTTTACAGGAATAAAGGTCACCAGCTGCATACTGAAACTGCTTCTGGCTGAAGCTTAGGGTAACATTTTCAGTGAGTCTTTCCATCTGTATTTAGAAGCATTCAAGTGCCACCATTAAACCAATGCTCCTGGTCTTCAGTTAACTACAGGCACCCTTCTGTCCTTTTCCCCAACAAAATTCAACTTATAATTGATGCTTATCAAACACAGTTAAAACCAAACACATTTCTGTGGGCTCCCTTGAGGCTTCACACACTGTCAGGAAGATTACCATGGATTAAAAAAGAGCATCTCTGCCTATGCTGTTGCCTCAGAGAAAGCTGGTCATGCCTGGATGTGTATAGTGGGATGCCGGTCATTACTGGAGGTTACAAATATCAGTGGATTAATATCACTGGCTGCTGAAGTATCAAGTGAAGAAAGCTGGATTTGAGGCTACTGCTGAGAGAGAGGAGATTCCTATTAAACCAAACTCAGATCTTCCTAAAAGTTACCAAAAAATCAGGTGAGAGAAAGCACCTGAGCAGAGGGGAAGACTGGCACTGAGATAAGGACAAATGCAATAATAGTAACATAAAGACTTTAAAATACTTATCTAGTGGCTAAAAAGCGCACACTGCCTTATTTATAATCATTGCCAGCACACATACCACTACAAAGATAGTTTTATTTCTTCTTGATTGATTTGCAATTACAGGTAAAAATCATAAGGTAATTGGATTCTATATGCTTTTATCCAAAGGCTTTGGAACATGATTATCTACAGTGATTGACATATCCCAAGTGGTGAATTATTGCATTAGAGACATGTATGCAGCTCTGATGTACAGCCAGTCAGAAAAATGGGTGTCTGTCACTGAGCAGCATGATTTCAGTCCTTACTGGGAAATGGTGCAATCTATGCTGAAACCTGGCTGGAACTGGACAGATTTTGAGAGTTTCTATATTAGTGACTGAAGTGAAAATAAGCTTTACCTACTGAAAGGCTCTAAATTTGAGAGGTATGAGACATAACCTAACAAGGAGGTATTTCTTCATTTAAAAGCCCCCATATATGTTCTGCTATATGGAGAATACAAATTAAACTTGGACACCAGAGTGAAGAGTAGGTGTATTATGTTAATGATAACCAGATAATGTAACAGTGTAATACATAAGACATGCAGTAAGAAAAGGCAGAATAATGCACCTAAAGCAACAAACAGGAAAATACAGGGTAATGCATCAAGTCATTACTGCATGAGAGAGAGAACAGAGATTAAGAAAGATCCATCACCACTTGCATATGTTACCATCATCCAGCCCCGCAGTGGCTGGGGGGCCCCGGTTACAGCGAGGGTTTGCAGAGCCTGTCCCTGCAAGGGGGAAATCCTACGCGGTGCGTCCACCCATAGGTGAGGATGACAAAGTGGGTCCAGCCTTATATCCCCAAAAATCAGTAAGCCAGAATAGAATACCTGGCACCTTTGTTCTGGGCGGAAAATTTCTGGTTTCATTCTCCTGTTGGATTCCACCCAAAGCCTGGCCAGGGCTCGGGGGTGAAACCAAGGGAGTTTCTAACAAGGCCAAATACTTGGGTTCTCAGCCTTGAACAAGGCTAAACAAGGGAAGTTGGATACATTCTCTTCTCACTACTGATAATATTTTGTCTAAGATGCATCTTTCACTAGCGAGTTTACATACTTCGTTAATGATTACATGCTAAGTTAGCAGCTTCAGCTCCGGGCCTGTTGTTCAGGCTTCAGCATTTCAATGTTTTAGCACTTTTTACATCAGCATAAGTGGGTTGTTATAACTTAGTACAATACCTACTAGCACAATGGTTATCAGTTATAAAATATACAGGATTCATCTATAGGTCAACTCTGGCTCGGGCCTGTTGTCCAAGCCCTAGCACTTCACCCATACACATCCATCCTGTGCAAACAGTTCTCTTTTCCCAGTTCTGATTGCACTCTTTGTCCCGTAGGGTCACAGGAGCAGGCTGGCAATATGTTCCGCTCAGAGGCTATCTCTGCAGATCAGGAGTATCTGCCTGAACTCAGGTACCTCACTTCACTGTAAAACAAAATAAAATTCAAACATCCCAGCACCGATGCCAGAAATCAGGAGCATAACTTCCATTGCAAGTTAATGGCAGTTTGCCTTGGGTCACTTCAGCATCTCTCTAAGCACAGCCACCAGAGAACTCCCTGGCCATGTGACAATTGTACATCTGCCAGTCTAAGAAAACCCCTCAGATCTCAAGTGTACGGTGCTGGAGCTTTTAGCTGTGACGTGGCCTCTGCCACGGCATATTGCAGGCGGCTGGCAGACCAAGCGGGCTGGGGCAGTCCCGGTGGGGAGGGCCATGACGCTGGACACGCACCACTGGGAAGACCAACAGGTATGTATGAGGCACAGGGGACTGGCGGGAAAACGCCCGCCTTCCAGGTGTCCTAACGCCGGGCGGCAGGGGCGGCTGCTGGTGTGGCACAGCCTGCACAGGCTTTGGAACGCTGAGTGAACAACGGTGCCTTACAAACCCCTGGTAATGGCTGAGCTTTCAGCAAATCATAGCTGTTACTCAAATAAATTATAGCTCCTGTGAAGAAGACGAACATTATGGTTTCAGATGAAAAAATCACTTGGGAGCTCACTCTGACAATAGAGTCTACCTATAAAAAGAAAATCTGCTTATGACTGGCCTTACAAAGTGGGCAGTGAATTGGCTAAATGGTAGTTACACATTTCAGAAGTCCAGCTGTGCAAACCACTTCCCGTGTATGCAATTTATATATATATATATAAAAAAGACAATGCTGTTTTTTTCCAAGTACAGAAAAGTCCGCTGAAATTCCTGAAACACTATTTTTAAAATGGCATAGCCGTAAACTTGCAAACTGTTGAGCAGTGTAGACCTTCTTTTAAAATGGGCTCTTATCTTCAAAAATAAAAGCCAGAAAAAAAAAAAAAAAAAAGGCAGCACAGCCACTACTTTGATAATGATAATGGAGACAAAGAATGGTGATGGGTCTCATCAGGGCTGGGTGACACACAGCCCTTCATCTGCAAAACCTTTTATTACAAAATGTAGAAATAAAAGAAACTGACTTGGTGAGAATGAGGGCAGTGAATCTTTTAACAGCTGTCTCCAAGGGAGAAAGTATAATATATTAACCTTATAAAAGCAAATCTCCTGCACTGTTTAAACTATGGTCTCTAGCATAGCTTCTGCCCAAGCCCATTTGTAATGAAGAGGATCCCTGCCCGCAGCCAGCTGGCTAATGCCAGCATGTACACCACACACTTTTGTACACCACACACACAGAGACACACAGAACATCTATATAGAGCGAGAGGTGTATGGAAGTAAAAGTGTATACAAGTGGAAGATGTCATAACAGAGTGAATCTCCCTGACACCTTTACTAGGAACTTTCTTAGAAGGAAACAATATCACCTAGAAACAGTATTATCAGAAACTTTTATTTGTTGTAAGTTGTAGCTTCACAAAAATACTGAAATGAAGAGGAAAGCATTTCAGATTTTCAGTCTGCAGGCAAAATACAAACACATAAAAGATTCGTCAGTGTTAACAGCCACAGAATGAATCAGTAGAACTGCTATGGAAGGAAAATTAAGCGCTAGTTTTGTAAAAAGTATTAAGTTAGTTCTTTTAAAGTTACATTCTATGTTTGCAGTTGTAGATTTTCTGTTGTTTCCCATTTTTGTACTTAGAACAAACATACAGCAGTGGGTAGCTTGTCTGTTAAAATGGATAAGAATCAGACAACAGTTCTGAACTAAGAGCCACATCAAGTATGTTTTGAAGTGAAACAGAATCTATCCACTCCCTTCAAGAGAAGCAAAGTCAATCCCAACCTACAGAATCCTGTGGATATATGGTGGGGAAGCCAATCTAATTCTTAAGGTTTACATTTACCAGGCTATTGTAAAATCCTGTGTTAACTGTTAGAGATCTATAGAAATCCATACTTATAGGTAGCAGTCGGTAGATAGAGATCTATAGTTAATACTAATGTAAAGCAAACAAACAGCAAACAAATATTTTGTCTAACCAGGCTAGAAAAAACTCAAGATATTCCAATTAAATGAAACACACTGAGAACAGGACAAAACTTCTCTATTACTTACAAGCCATTCTAGCTGGTCAGTGCTTATCTCTCTCCTTTATTATTTCAACAAAGTTCAGCACCTCTAGAGTCCTCCTGCCAACCAAGCTCAGATACTCGGGTTCAGCTGATGCCGCTGTTGCGGCGGCGCTGCCCGTGCCCGCAGGCTGCAGCCCCTCACGGGCCGGCATTTTGTGCCCTCCAGCGGTGCTCGCAGTGCTGGGAGGGGGGATCCCCCCCGGGCTGCGAACAGAGGGGCGGGAGCCCCCACAGCTGCACACCCGCATCCTGCCACACTGGGTGGCGACATCCACCTTCTCTGCTTCTGGGACAGAGCTCTCAGTCTGCGACCAAACATCACGGCGGGTACTGCGAGTGGCATGCCCTCTTTTGAGGGCTTGGTGTAAGGAGCTGCCCTCAGATGGGGCGGGCTGGTTTTTACTTTCCTCCTCTGTGGCACATAAAACAGACCTTTTCTCCTGAAGAGGGTTTGCTTCTTCTCTAGTCAAAGTACTTCTGGGCTGGAGAGGTCTGGTGTGAGAGGTCTTGGGGCGCTCTGTGCTTGCTGAGCCTGAGACTAGGTTGACATCACTGATCTTCAAGGACTGATTGTTCAGATATTCCTTCTTTTTGGCTGCATCTTCCTCTTCAGACTGTTTGAACAGAATTGTGTGAATGCAACTGTTATAAATAGTTTAATACTAAGGGCTACACTGATGACTAAGTTAAATAAACAGAAAGGCCAGATTTTGGTAGTTTGGGTTGTTTTTTTTAATTCTTTTTCCAAGGGTGTACCCGTGGCAGGGTGTACTTGTTGACGAGAAGGCGAGTAAGGCAGACCTTCACTCTCACACAGAATTTATATTCTTATGTTGTGGCGTTTTGTTGTTCAAGAATGGCTGAAAATACACAGTGTATCAAATCCACCTGCCTTACAGGCATGGGATGTGAGGTAGCTGTACATCAAGGAAGAATACAGAAGCTTGCTTTGCATCTTCCCACAGTCATTTTCCTGTAATTCCACAAGGCCTGGTATTATCAAGAGACCAGACCACATGTCTGTTAAACTACTTAGGAAAATGTACAGCTAATCTTTTCTTGTCTTCCTCACACATGATGTTGCCTTGTACAAAACAAAAATGTAAATAAGATTCCAGCTACATCCACCCTTAGATGCACTCAGGCACACAGATATAATTCAAATTTACCCTGCAAAGCCATAAAGGGGCAGTACTCACCCTGTTGGGACTCTGTCTGCCTTGGCGAGTAACAGGGAGACCGACTGCTGACTCCACATCTGAAGAATGAGACAAAAAGGAAAGAAAGCGTACTCACCAAAAATTCCCCAAACATCCAACTCTCAAGTACAGCATGTGGAACTAAACATTACTACATCTGATGCAGTTTTAAGATACTGTTTAAAGAATAAAGTGTTAATGAGGTCAATCTAGTTCTTGGCAAAAGCCAATTCTTCTCCTCTCAAGCTAACATGTCTTAGCAGAAAGTGTGCAACGGGTGCCCCAAAGCTTCAGCTATGCTGTTAATCAGCAGCCTGCACCAGCAGCAGAAACATGCTACCCAAAAGGAGGAAAGACTCTGCAGAGCAAGGGCAAGGAGAGACTACGGCAAACTCCTTGCACACACTGGCTGCCATGCAGGTTACATCTTTTTCTCTCGGAGGCCCTCAGGAGATCTTCTGCTCTGAAATACAGCCAGCACAGCTGAGCCCTGCAGCTAATGAGGGAGCAGAAAAGATGTGGGGTCTCCCTGCTGATTCCCCTCACTCTGTTCACATGTAGAATGACAGCATATAGTCTAGTGGGAGAGAATAAATAATAGTAAAGACTGGACCAGTAAAATGGCACATGTCAAACATCTATGAAGATATTAATTAATACAAAAAAACATGTCAGAGATTTTTTTTCCCATCAACTGAAGGTCTGCAGGAATAGAAGGAAAGAAAATTACTGGCATTTACTTGGCATGTTTACTATATGATGATGTTAGTAAACTTGAGTCATGGTTCAGATAATACTCTTGACCTCTCTCATGGATTTATATTATTTTTAGCAGTTACCCCGACTTTTAGAGCTGTCTTTTCAGTTTAGGGGACAACTTCGGAGGAAACGGGACAGTGAAAAATATGTGCGTAATACTCACCAGGGAGAAGTTAACCTGAATTTACCTCTTCAAGGAAAAGCAAACACAGATAGTTCTTTTACCTGGTAATGCTAGTCTTCTTTAAACAGTACTGTGTGAATCAAAAATACAAGCCCTCATCAAATGTAACATCCTAAAAAGGTCAAAACATTCTCCCTGGATTTAAAAGTAACTGTTTCAGTTTCACATGTAAAGAAAAATCTGATATTTGATTAAAATGTATAAATGGTACTAACCCTTCTCCACCTTGAGAAGATTTGAACTCACTCCAAACTTATACTCTTTCTCTTGTGCTGCTGTGAACTTTTAAAAATAATTAATAGTGAGGGTTCAGCTGGATCAGCTCCTCAGGTGAGAAACATTCAGTTTCTGTATTACATAAAGAAATCACTGCACTGTACTGCAAATTATTTTAAGAGGTACAAAACCGCTGAGCAATACTGCATGTACCTGCGTGACTTCTACAGAAAAATAGATAAAATATTCTTTATATGTATCCTGACATAAAGCTCCTTTACAATACTGAAGTGTCCTGCATATAATGCCTGGGCACTGCCTACAAAATCTGATCCTAAGGGTTAATTGTGCATAACTTTTGCACAATGTATTTCAGGCATCAGCTCAGGTGTGAATCAAACCATGTAAATTACAGCCTGAAAGGACTATCTATCTGAACCACTTCACTAGAAGCTGTTCTTTCTGGATTCCTTACATAAACCATGAAAAAAAGGAATTTCCTCAGAAGCAAATTCAGTGAAGCTAAAATCAGCTTCTAACTGTTGTGGATATTCCTTCTCCACCTCAAATGAATGGTGCAAACAGTAGGTTTGACAAAAATTATGTCTCTTTAAAAAGTTACCTCTTTAAATCCAAAGAGCTGGTTCTGTCTCCAGGCTGATTCTTTCACAGACTCATCATCACTGAGGGGTGCAAACACAGAGTTCTCTGGTAAGTGATTTCCCCTCCTGTACTTTTATTTTCTTTCTGAATTAAAATAATTACTGGTGACTTTTTTTGTCTTCAATTTTTATTTTGCCTTCAGTAACCATGAAATGTTTCCCATTATTGAGAGCATTGAACTTATTTCTGAACCTTAGATGCAACACCAAGAATCTGTTTTTCACAAACTTCACTTCTGTTGAAACACAAAATGTAGTATGAGAGATAACAGAAGATAGTGCCGCTTTGTAAAATGGAAGGTGTTATAGATCAAAGACTTTTATAAAACTGTTTTGTAAAACATGGGGCACTCACATATGCTAACTTTAGTCCAGGGAAGACAGTAACTTCCTCTGTAATCAATGGAAGGAGACGGGGTCTTTTAGAGAGCAAGTCAGAGCAACAGCCTAACTTCAGGGACTCAGAATTGTCCCATGAAAAAGCCTTTCTCTGTACTTGTTATAGACAGATGAACAATGGTATAAAGGACTTACCTGTGCATAAATTTATTCACATTATTCACTACTATTTTTACTGGGAAAACTGGGTACTCAGTAATCCTTTTGGAATTTTGCCTTCATATCCTCTTAGCAGGATTTCTCCAGTTCTCTGCAATTACCACTAGTGTGTAGATGACTGATAAATTCTATGGAACTCACCTTTTTTTTCTTGAATCATTCTGTACATTCTTCTCTAAGTTAATCTGCTGATCATGATGATAAGCAAATGACTCTAAAATAAAGTAAACCTTGATTTTAAAATGCAATAACATAAATGAAATTTGAAAAATAAATGCTTCTGTGAACTTTTAAATTTAAATAATTGGATTTAAAATTAAATTGCCACATGTTTTTGGTCAGGACAGACACACACATCTCTGGTTATAAAAGCATATGTCTTTAAAAGGAGAGTAAAACCAAGAATATATGTCCTTAATGACACGCACCATTTTTTTCAAGGTTTGCAGGTTTTTCTTTCTTTTCAGAGAGTATGAAGCACTGCTGTCCCTCATGACAGTCCTGCAGGTGGGTTTTATGAAGTCCACTGGTATTCTCGTAGCTTGCACTTGAGGCATTGTTACTTTTAAGTAAAACCTGTTCTGGAGCTGTGAAAATCCCTTCAAGTTGTCTGTCTACAGAACTTTTTTTTGTATTGATTGCAGGATAAGCCTCTCTAGTATCATAAGGATAATTTCTGTTGGTCATTTGATTTCTATCATCAGGATCAATGAAAAAAATGGCAGTACTGCTTTGGTTAACAAAAGGATTAAAATGCTTTGTGGAAGGATTATTATGGATTGGTTTGCTCTCATCTTCAAACAGTGCCAGAAAAGAAAAATCACTTCCATCTTGGGGAGCTTCCAGTTCTGCAGTTTCTTTCACAACATCAAACAATGATTCTTTTATTCCTTCACTGTTTTCTGATTCGTTACTGGTCATTATCACTGGATTCTTGCTGGCAGAATTCATATAGCCCAGCCTGGGGGTGGGGGGTGAGGTTGAGAGGGGTTAGAAAGGAAAAAAACCAGTTTGCTCAGCACATAAATAATCAAAATACTAACTGCTAACACAACAAACTACGATAACTTGATGATAAAAATCTCAAAGACTTTACTGCTCATCACATTTGCTGTTGTCCCAGATGTACATTATTTCAACTGAAGTAGTGTCCTCTATTTTATTTCCACTTTATAGTAAGGTTGGTTTAAAAGGCACTGTTTCATGTCTCCAAACATCCCAAGACATGAGTCACCTTCCTGAGTAGGGAACTGTGATTTATAAAATCAGCCACAGTATGTCACTGCTGCTCCACCAGCTGACCAAAGAAAGCTACTTTGGGAAAAAAAAAAAAAAAAAAAAAAAAAAAAAAAAAAAAAAAAGAAAAAAAAAGAAAAAGAGGAAGACGGCTTCTTCCGTTCATAAAAATAGTTTATTCTTCAAGACTACAGTTCTCTCCTGTACTGAAAGGTCATAATAAGCTCTGTGTGCTGCTTAATTCCTGAGCTCTTGAGCAAGTGACTTCCCTTTGTACTTGAGGTCAGTAACCCTAATTCAGCACAGATCTTTTTTTTTTCTGTTCCACTGTCAGGAGGCCAATCAGACATTTTGTTTTGCCCATACTTCCCTACTGTGGCAGTGTACTCCCCGCCCCCAACCCGGCCTGTATGTCCCACAACCCTGCTCAGGTGACAACCACCTGTGGCGGTGGTAATGGATGCCTCTGGTCGTGATGGGCTGCATCCTACTCAAAGTGGATTTGGGGGAGATAGATAACAACACAATAGCCAAGGACTGATTTGAACAACGTGCCCACCTAACCACAGTGCTGGTCAATGTCCAACTCAAGACAAATTTGGAAGAAACTAACACCTGTAGTTCATATGCAAATATGACTATAAGTCAATGCTCTTACTCCATAAATAGTGGACAGCCTAGGGCCCATTGAACTCTCCTGCACAGCAATGGACTGCAACCAAGATCTCCCCTTGAGCAGGGATTCCTCTTAAGGTTACTCCTCGAGGTTGAGAGATTCCTTACCACAACAGATTCTCGGTAAGTGATTAACAGCATGCTAAACTTTGAAATCTTAAGTGATATAAAGGCTTGACTGTGCATACATAATCATTTAGCCATAAACTGTTGACCAAGTCTAGGACTATCTCTTTTCTGAGGAGTTTAGAAAGCAAGAGGGTCCATTCTGAACCTTGTGACTCAACTGGAAGCTCTCCCTGACAGTTTTGTCTGACCCTGTCCTCTATGTAGTAAATGTCAAGTGAACCTTGCCATTAAATCTTGTTAAACCACTGCCACATTTACTATCAAACTTTGTTAAATTGCTCTTTTATATCAACAAACACATTGCTACTTCTCTCTTACTAGTGAAGTGTGTCACTCCACCCACAACTCCTACCCCACTTCTGACAGTAGTGGTTTTGAAGATGCTAGCATTATCAGCATGAAAGATATCATGCTTTCACCTACTTGGCTCTTAATCAAACACCTTCACTGCCTTTTTCCAGATGATCTGCTGACTGGTCTTTCAGAAAATCCGAGCAAAAAGTTGAGGCTTCTAAAGCACAGACAATTGGCAAAGGTGGCTGCTCAAAAAATGCCATTTCTTCAAAAAATTTTGAGCAATGCTATCAATGGAACTTGAAAACTGAAATGTAGTACAGAAAACTCTTACTGGAGAAAAATTCTTTAATGTTTTGATCAGCAAATACTTGGAACTGGATAAAGATCCTAGAGAACTTAAATGAGAAAGTAGTGTCCTCTACTTATAGAAACCTCCCCAGAACAGTTTGAAAAGGCTAAACACACTGCAGTTTGTTTCTGGAGAAACTTGCATAAATCTACATGAGGAAGGCAAAACCATTTTGTGAAGCAGTTCAGAGGTTCCTTCTTCACTCCAGCTGAACATTTTGTAATGCTAAGTAATAGTAAATGAGGAAATAAGACATCTAAAATTTTTAGTTAATATTTAATGACAGCTCTCAGATGTATGCACATTGATTACATCAGCAGTATGTTACAATTACATTAAACAATTGTGTAAGTTTATACTTTTCGCATACAGCGAAAAAAGGTCCCCTCCCAGGAGAACTTCCAGATCTTGAGGTATAAGAATTTATGTCTACAATGGATGAAAACAAAACAAGGATGATACAAATAAATGGATGTGAAGAACAGTTGTAAAGGAGATGTTGTTAGTGAGCCATGAATGGGTGGAGGACTAAGGAAGATGCCATAAACTGATGAGTGGAGGCCTGAGGGCCTGTGGAGGAATGAAACGGGATATGTAGGTGAGATAAGGTTAAGTATGGCTTTAATGTAAGGATATTCATCAGGAATTCACTAAGATACAGTAAGGAGAATGTTATCCTCATTTTAGGTTTTGCTGGAGATAGTTGGAAGAAGCTATGAGGAGAGAGAAAGTTAGGTGGCTAAGACTAGAAGCTGATGTTATCATCTGTTATTACGTGGTCAGTGAATTTATCAGTCACTTGACCTCCCAGGCAAACAGGTTCTAAGTACTTCAGGAACAGCAAAATAATATGTGGCCTTTTTATGGCTTGTTGTGGTTTAACCTCAGCTGGCAATTAAGCACCACACATATGCTCACTCACTCCACCTATACTAGTGGGATAGGGAAGAGAATTGGGAAGAAAAAAGGTAAAACTTGTAGGTTGAGATAAAGACCATTTCATAGGATAGAAAAGGAAAGGGAAATAATAATAATAGAATATACAAAACAAGTGATGCACAGTACAGTTGCTCACTACCTGTTGACCGATGCCCAGACAACCCCCAATCCGTGGTGTCCCTCAGCCAGCGCCCTTCAGCTTATATACTGAGCATGACGTCATATGGTATGGAATATCCCTCTGGCTCATCTGAGCCATCTGACCTTGCTATGCCCCCTCCCAGCTTCTTGTGCACTTCCAGCTTCTGCTGGCAGGGCAGTATGAGAAGCTGAAAAGTCCTCAACTTAGTATAAGGACTGCTCAGCAACAACTAAAACTTCAGTGTGTTATCAACGTTATTCTCATCCTAATTCCAAACCACAGCACTATACCAGATATTAAAAAGAAAAACCCAGGACATGGTTCTATTCAGCCAAAGCTAGAGACTGACAAGAACATTCAACCAGACAGCAGACTTAAAGAATAAAAAGGGTAAAGAAAGATTATCCCTGTAAGACCCCTAGATGGAAGGCAAGAGCCCATGGAAAGAAACTGAAATAAAATGTTAAGTGTAAATGAGTCTGGCCCTAAACCCTCTGTGATTAAAAAGATTTTAAAAAAGCACATACAAAAAGAAATATACTCTAGATATCTATCCATTATTTTAAAATGTATATATTCTCATAAAAGTATTACTAAACTTAATTCTTAAAAAAACCAAAAATAAATGCTATAGTAGGATCATATATGAAACAGAAGAAAATTCTTTGTTCCGGGAATCCCAAATGTAAACAGTGTAGGTGGAGAAGTTGCTCAATTGCCACAGCATCAAGGTAATCAGAAAAGCACTTGCAACAATGAACAAAACTAATGAGAGCTGGGGCAGCTACCCTCCCTGTGGCCTCTTGGTAAAGCTATGCTTCTCACTTAGGGTGAATTCAGTAACACCATCATGTTTGTGATGTTGCAAAAAGTAGATTATGATTCCAAGCACCTACCTAAAATTCACATTTTGCTGCCTTTCAGCAAATTTAAATAGATTGGTATGTTCAGTCTTTGCTTTTAATTTCAATTTCTATTTGAAAAGCACCAAAAATCAGTGAAAAAATGATTAATCAAGATTATTTTAGTATTTTTCTTATTTAAACTTGACTGTTATTTCTCTTGCTAATGTAAAATCACTGCCTACCTATGCAATGGCTTAAATAGTTCCTCAAGCACTGTATCAGACTTCCTGAAAATACACTGGCTCAGAGGTTTTATTATCCAAGGGTCTTGATGAGAACTATTTCCTGGCTGAGAAAACAGTAGAAGCTGTCAAACTCTGAATATATATAATAGTTATAGTGTTTAAAACTTTAAGGCTGGGTTTGCGAACAATATACATGTTTCCCCACTATTTTTACTTCTTTTTATCTTTACAGTGGAAGCCCAAACCCCTTTGCAGCCCCAAACTTATTACAGCCCAGCTGAGTTCTGTATAACTCATACTTTTCCATATTTGCATATCACTGTTAATATGCAAAATGTCCTTTTAGCACCCTGTCCTCCCATAGTATGAACAACCTTGATAGACCATAACAAGATGATGTTCCACTGAAGATCACATAATCTGGTCTAGAAGGGACCTCAGGAGGCATCTAATCCCACCTGCTCAAAACTGGGCCAGCTTCAAGGTTAGGCCAGATTGTTCAGGATTGTTCAGGACTCAGATTCCACAGCCTGTTGGGATGGCCTCTTCTGATGCTTTAGCCTCTTTTGTGGCAATATTTTTTTCCTATACAAACAGATTTTCCATTGTGGAAACTTGTGACTTTTACTTCTTGCCATTTCACTGTGTACCTCTGGCTCTGTCCTGTCTGTAACTGTTCAGACTGTGGAAGACAGCACTTAGTTCACCCCACAGCCCCATGGCCTTCTCTTTACCAGGCTATGAAAGGTCCAATCTCTCCACATTCATCATGTGCTCCAATCTCCTAACAGTTTTTGTGACCCTTCATTGGTCTTGCCACAGTTTGTTGATCTCTACTGGGGGTCCCAGAACTGGACACAGTATTTCAGATGTGTTCTTACATATGCTGCTCAAAAGGAAACAATCACTTGCCTTTGACTGCTGGGTATGCTCTTTTTAATAGAGCCATCTATGTAGTTGGCCTTTGCTGCTACAAGGGCACACTGCTGATTCACATACAACTTGTTGTCCACCAGCACCCCCAGATCCTGCTCTGCAAAACTGCTGCCTGATCGGTCAGGTTCCACCTGCACTGACATGCAGGGCTATTTCTGCTGAGGTACAGGGCTTTGTATTTCTCTGTGTCAAACTCTATGAAGTTTCTGGTGGCCTTCTTCTTGTGAAGATCCCTCTGAGTAGCAGCCCTGCTACTGTAATGATCACTCAGCCAGTTTGGTGTCATGCATGAACCCGTTGAGGGTGCATTCTGTCCCATTGTCCAACTCTCTGTACTGGACTTGGTATTAATCTCTGGGGATCCCTGCCATTATTGACCTGTTGCAAATTAGACTTTAGCTGACAGACAACTACTTTGAGCATGATGGTAACAGTCATTTTTTACACATCTTATTGTCCACTCATCTGGTTTGTATATCCCCACTTTGGCTACTAGGATCCAAGAGGAAACCTTGTCAAAAGCCTTCCTAAAGTCAAGGTAAATATCTGATGCTTTCCCTTATTCATAGAGCTAGCACTTTCACCACAGAAGGCAGTCAGGTTCATTAGGCATCGTATGGTTTTGGTAAATCTATGATGACTGTTTACAGTCACCTTCTTGTTCTTCATGTACCTTGGAATTGCCTCTGGGAGGTCTAGCTCCATAATCCTTTCAGGGACAGAGGTGAGATAATACTTCCACAGATCGTGCTTATGTTTTTGCAGATGGGCATAATATTTGTGTATTTCTTGTCACTGAGAAGCTTTCCTGATCACCACAGTCTTTTAAAGATGATAGACAACTGCCCTGCAGCGATGTCATCTAACTCCCTCAATATACTTGGGCACACCCTGTCCCAGTCCTATGTATTTCTTTATGTCCAGGTTACTAAGGATTCCCCAACTTTTTCCTCCACTACTGTTTTGTACCATTCTCCCCCAAACTTTCTCCTGAGCTTTAAGATGTGCCAGAGAGCAGACCTTGTCAGAAAAGCCTCAAGAAAAGCAGGTCTCGAGTGCCTCAGACTTTTCCATGTCCTTTGTCACTAGGTCTCAACTCTATTTAGCATTTTCCTTGGTTTCCTTTTGCTGATGACATACCTATAGAAGTCCTCCTTGGTGCCCTTCTCACCCCTTGTGAGTTTCAGCTCTGACCATCCTAATGCCACCCTTCCAAGCTCAGGCGATGCTGCTGTATTCTTCCTGAATTGCCCATGCCTCCTTCCACACTTCCCTTTCGCATCTGAGCTCACTCAGGAGTTCCCTGATTCAGCCAAACTGGCCTCCAGAACCTACTCATTCTCTTGCACACTGAGGTGGACTGTCCTTGTGTTTTGAAAACATTCTCCTTTGTCCTTTAGTTCAGCTTTCTGTACATTTCCGCCTACCCATTCCCTGAACAACCCAACATTTCCCCTTCTGAAACCCTGAAGTACTCCTTCTTCCCTTACCTCAAGTCTTTAAAATACCATCGGTGATACACATAGAATTCGTTTTATTATTTTCAATAAATAATATACTTTCTAAAAATAGAGTATATTTGCTATTACTTTCCTAAGGATGATTTTTTTAAGAACCCCAAAGTTAACAAAAAGGAAAAAAAACAAAGTTTTATGCATCAGAAAAATAACTTTCAATCATTTCTTAAACTTAATGAGTTGAACATCAGGCTTTTCTCAATCCTTTTAGGAGCACTGAGAATATTGTATGAAGTATGTTACTCATTAAGACACTGCATCATTACAAATTAGGTCACAGTGATCTCCTGGGGTCATATGATACCCAGTTATACTAATTGTACATTTAAGAAAGTTGTATTTATATCTGTAATACATTTCCATTTTCTTTAACCAACTTTACAAGCCAGAAACAAAAGCAAGTCAGCAGTATGTGACTCTATGCATATTTCAGCAATACTGAGAGCTCAGTGAACAAAAGCTCAAGTTAAGCGTATTTAATAACAATAAAATAAATATATTTGTATATATGTAATATTGACTGCCACCAGCCTACAGGAAATGCTGATTCATAATTATCTTCACCATTATGCTAATTCTACACCCCAAATAAATGAAAGTTAGTTTAAAGTAATTCTGTGGAAATGACAAAATATTAACCAAACCTGGGTTTGCAGCTTCTCTTCATAGGTCTGTTCCCAAGTGTTGCCCGTTAGCTTTGTGTTGAAATTTTCTTCTGAAAGTTGTGTGCAGTTAGAGGACCAAAAACCAGGAGAGGACAATGGACAGGCACTAAAATTTCTTGCTGTGTTGTCTTCATGTTCCATACTAGAGTCAGCATACTTTAATTTTGTTACTTGTGATAACTAGACAAAACATAGCCAAGAGATATTTATCTAAAACTGTTTTGATGTAAGCATAAAGTTCAAAGTAATCAAACCTTTCCATATCTTTTACATCTCTGCAAATATACCACATGCAAGCAAAAATATTCATGTATTTTGATATGATTTTTTCATTAAAAATGAAGGTAGTAAAGGCTTATTTCAGGGAATAACATAAGTAGCTACTTAAGTTGAAGCATGTACACAAATGTTGCCCTGAGGAGAGATGGGTATAAATACATTTTTAGCTTTAGATGTGTAGGTAAATGATCTGCTGACTTGGTTCGTAAGAAGTAAAATGAAAAATATTTTAATCCATTGAGGAGTGAACTCCAGTGTGTCGTGATACCAACCGTACCAACCGTGATACCATGTTATCTCAAGCAGATCAGAACACAAGGAGAAATTTGAAGGCAAAACTCATGGCATGTCTCTGTATCCACAGCTACATGGAAGTAATGCCTGCAATCCAGTATGCCCCGTGAAAGAACACAAGCTATTGATGGAGTGCAAAAAGCCTTGTACATTAATTGCACAAAATCTTTGCACCATAAAACTCTAAGTTTCCAGAAAACTGAAAATTACTATTTTTATAACCCCTCTTTCTGCTTAATAAAGTGGATGTATCTTAATTAATTAAATTGGGTATACTTCATCTTAATAATATCTTAAAAACAATTCTTTGCAACATACAGGACTTAGACTTTATGTTTTGATCCATATATTATATTAGCTTTCTGTGTGTGCATGCTGCATTATCAAGTGTTTTAATAAACTGATGTAAATGTGTCTGTACAAGTGGAGGTTGAGGAGAAACTTAGCTATCATTTCGATCCATTATTTCTGGCCACACTAAATCTGAAATATGTCCTCTCTGTCTTCAAGACATTCCCTTATGACTATAAGGGAAGGCTGAATTAATGTGATATCCAAAAAAGTAGTGGCAGCTCATGGGGATTGTAGCTGAGACACATTATACAGCTAAACCTTTCACCTATACTAAGGATTTCTTCCCAACTCAAAAGAAAGGCACTCCTAACACCAGAAAAACATCTTTCTTTCTCATTCTAGGAAAACATGCTTTGCCAACATGAATAGGCCAAGAAAACTCAGAACAATACAGTGCAAGCATCTTTTGCAAGCATCTTTCCCTCAGAGTCCTATCTGATATGAACAGCAGAAATCAGCGGAGCCATATTATCAAGCAAGTCTGAGTCATGTAAACTGTCTTCTAACAGATTTACTAACTTGAGTGGGTTTTTTGTTTAGCTGTTTTATTATGAAACAGTAGAATGGGTCATTAAAAAAAGCTTAAATTCCATCTAGAGAATGTTTTTCGCTGTAACTTCAATGAGTGTATGAACTTCCCAATTGTACCCACTGAGACTTGTGCTTAAATTCCTCTCAAAGACTCACTTCTGTCTATGCTTCTCATATTTCATCACTTCACATTTTTGCATATTGTTTTTAATTTACCTGCTGTTGGCCTCAGCCTCTTTTCCATAACGTCTGTCCTTTGTGACTAGATATTCTTAATTATTTTGGAAAATGCCTAAAACAAGGTGAGCCTTTCAAGAAATATGTAAGAAATAGCAGGAACAAATATAAAATATGATTGGCAAATAAAATATCAATATAGCCTTGAAGAGGAAGACTTTACATGTTTCACTATCCATGAGATTTGGTCCTTGAAAAATCACTTAAAAATACAGCCATTGCTGCACATTTTTAGCTTTACATCAGTGGGAACAATAAACTTACATTATGCTGGTATTTTACTTTCTCTGAGAGATGCTGCCTTCTGCTGTCCAATACTTGGTTTTGTAACCTTGTAAAATGAATAAAAACATCCTATGAAATACAAGGTATAAGATTAAAAACATTCTGAGTATTAATTTCAAAATAATTTAAGAATATTTTTCCACACATCTTAAAAAGGCCTGATTCTTAAGCAGTTATGAGCAGCCAGTGTGTGAGTCAGTCACTTTAGGGTGTCTGAAGTTGGATGAGAAAACAGTGCAAGCAGAAAACGCTATTTGAATAGCCTGGTCTGTGAGATAAACTTAGTGTTTGTACCTGATATGAATAAAGAAACTCTTTAAAGAAAACCTCTCAGCTTCATTTACAGCTTTTTATTGACAATACATTTATTTACTCATAGTAAGAGTATCACTGTAATACTAGGAGTGATTATGAAACTTCTGTCTTAGAATGGTATATATATGTTTACTTAATACCCCAAATATAAAATCATCATGAAATACCTTTTCCAGAACTTTATTATAGATTCACTACTGCCTACTTTATACAAGTACCTGTTCTGGATGCCATCTAAGTTTGACGTACGTTGTATATGTAGTGATGACATGGGAAGCTCTACATTCTGCCTCCTAACAGGTATTTTTACATCTTTAGTGATATTAACGTGGACTGGCTTCCTCGTGTTCTCTGCAATGAGAGTATCTGGAATGTCAGTGCTGGGCTTGAAGAAAGTTTTGAACTTCCTGAATTTTCATTAGAGTACAAAAGTTGTTGGTTTAGGTTTCCTAATCCATTTAAAGCCATATTTTTTGCTTTCTTTATTACTAGCAGTGCAAGAGCTTTCTTCTAAATGGCATTATAGCATAAAATTATTTATGGTCATCTGCTGTGTGTAGACAGGCTCTGTTGCCCTCCTCACCTAATCTTCCTGAGCACAGGACAATAAATTTTCCACAATCTGGTTTATGAATATGTGACAGAGGATAAGAATCATAGAAGCATTTAGGTTGGTATAGACCTTTAAGATCATTGAGTCCAACCATTAACCTAGCACTGCCAAGTCCACCACTAAACCCTGTCCCTAAGCACCCCATCTACATGTAAAGAGTTAGCACTCAAGTTGCAGAGATGGTTTTTTACGAGCTTAACGATGGATTTTAAGAAAGTTACTCTGGGTAGAACTGACAGACTATTCCAAATGCGCCACAAAAGTTATTAAAAAGGAAATGAAACACTAATGGACCCATTCAATGGCAAAGAGAAAAAGAAGTCAAGGTAGGGTAAAATTAATGAATGGAATGAGGAAGGTGCGTAAGTGTTACACAGCTTTAAAGGTGAAGTAGGCAGTACCAAGGTTATCTGATTCTTCTTATGGCTTAACTTTTTATTCAATCATTGTTTTTGTATTTACTTACAATTTTTTATTTTAAAAGCAAACCAACACTTACTTGAGCATTAACTTATAAGTGGAAGGACAAGAACTAAAATAATAGCAGTAATAATTAAGGGTAACTGATTCTATTAACTGTAAAGTCAGAACATTGTTACACTAAACTCACCAGTGTTTTCTTTTTTGGTTGATATCTGGTTAACAACATACAGATTGAGGAGATCTAAACTGACTGCTGAACTTTTAGGAGACGGTACTCCCAGAAGCTTCATCTTTGATTTAAGTTTCTTCTTTTCAAAAAACTCCTAATTTGTTAAAAGACAGAGTAAGTTTTTGACAGAAGCGTTAACATTAGCAGCATATATAATTCTTTTCAAATTATCATTCAAGACTTGGTAAATAAATCCTAATAATAAAATCACATGATTAAATCTCTCTGAATTTCACACCCTGTCTACTGTTAGTTTATTTTTATTGCCTTGAACAAGACTGCAAGCATACTCTAGTCATATTCAAAATAAATCACTGTTCTCTTGATGCCAAAAACTTAGTCCTTAAACACTCATGCTTCAAACTTTGTGTATGATCATAAAAATATTTATTTAAAATAAAGGACATATCAAAATGCTGCAACAAAAGTCTTTAAAAGTTTAAACTTGGGCTTTTTAGGCAACTTATAAACTAGTAGACAAATAAATCGACAAGATTACCTACACACAGCCATCTATAATGACACAAAGGGTTTATTGTTCTCCAAATTTGTCTTTCTCAACATTCAAAATAGTCTTGTGACAGAAAAAAGAGAAAAAAGTGCAGAAGAAAAATCTCTAAGACTGGGACTTCAGAAAGGCTTTTTGTTGTGAGAAATAAAAAGAAACATGACTAACACTTTGAATACATCAGGCAGATAATTTGGGAAAATTTAGGAAACAAAAATCTTCAGTTTGTAGGGGACTATTAGTAATCATCTTAAAATCACTAGCATCAAGCACAGCAGATGAATAAAACCAGTAAGATTTCTTTATTTTAACCACAAGAAGGATATTGAAAACTGAAGGCTATGCCAAAACATAAGCTTTTCTTCTGAATTGTAATTCCTCTCGTGACTGCAGATTACATGTAACTAATAGACCCAACATGTTTGTTGGTAACTATTTTTCAGTGTAATTTGTTATATCATAATCTTTAGCTTTCTAGGATGTTATCATCTGTGGAAAACACCTGTTCTTCAGTTAAGAATAATATCTGCAGTAAGGTAAATTCAGCCTGTGTACAAATCAACACTTCAAAATTCATATTGCTTTGGAGTCCACACCCCCAAAATGTATTCATGTTCCTTCAGTGACCCAGGTATTTTCTTACCATCACCTATAAATTACTACATTACTATTAATTGTGTAATAGCAATTACAGAATTACCGTTGTGTGTAGTAATTTAGTAATTCAGCACTAAATTACTAAAACCAAGCCTGTCTTGGATCCTTTTCTGTTTTCTCTCCTCCACTGAAGCAAATTACATAGTTGCAATGGAAATTACATGGCTTAGACCAAATCCCTGAGAAAACAGGTATTTTGAGAACTCACAGGACTTCAGGAGACTGGGAAAGCAACAGGGACAACAAGCTGCTGGTTGCTCCCACATTCCCTTAGGTAAAGGTTTTAATTTCAGAGACTGTCTCCATAGTATCAGCCTGTTTTTCCTCTTCCTGTATATGCCAATGCATCTGCTTTGGGTATTGGCTGGTACCAGCTTCAGTGGTGGAGCTTTCAGATACTGTGTCTTTTTTCCCTGCTGCTGAGGAGGAAACTGACTTCTCTTATTGTGGTTATAACTATTTTATCTTACTGTTTTCTTTCTCTTTCCTGTTTGAAATGTCTTCTGCTATGCCAGGGATAAATTTGATTCTATCATTTCACTTTCAGATTCAAAATACAAATAAGATGGCCTACTTTTGCAAATGCTGGAATGAAGTACTTCAGTGAGCCTAACATTCTTTTATGTAGCCCAGAAAAATAGCTGTGTATATGTGTAACTGTTAGGCTAGCTGACCACGTGATTGTCACTGTGAGGCTTCAAGCAAACCCATGTGTCAGCACATACCAACAAAATATAGTAACAGAAGTAATTCAGTAAAACTTAAATTGTGCACATTCACTCATTCATGCCTTCTCCTACTCCCTCCTCTTCCTGCTGGAATTCAGCGTAGTAAACCTGGAACAAGACTTGTTCCCTAAAAGTTACATACAGTCAGGCAAACACATTACAACTGCTAAGCTATAGTTCTGACTCACTCCAAACGCTTCAAAGTTTTTCCTAAGTAAACCAACTGAAGCATTTATATAGCAGTATAAAATGCAAGATGGCTAGAACTGTTTACCTTTTGTTTTCTCCTTTCCTGCTTTAATATGATTCTGCTCCTGAAAGATGCAAATTATTACTGTTTTAGTTGTAAAAGTATCAATGGTATTGAGAATTTAGAACACAAATATGTTATGTTATGCTATGTTATAATGGACAAAACCTTCGGGTCAACATGCATCTGTTGGAAGTCGGATTGATCGTGGTTTACTCAGGTAAAGATGGGACCACATTCTATCTTAGGGCTACCAAACGCGTTGAACGTTCAGAGTTAAACCTGTAATGCAACATTTCATCGATTCGTTTCTTAAAACACAAAAAATCTATCTCAATATAGTATTTTCTCCTAATTTTCTTTGTTATGCTGCAACAGAGTTACAAAACCTTATCAGCAAAGAAAATGAAGGAGCACAGTACAAGTGCCTTTTGGGGACTACCTTTTGGGACTTTACAGAATATTGTGAACATTTTGTCACTACAAATTTTATTGGGCTGCAGTTTGTGCAATATAGGAGAGAATTATATCTTAAACATAGTTTTAAATGCGTTGCCTACAGGACATGGTGCATAAAATTGGAGCTCTGGGTCACCACTGTGAGAAGGGTGAGCATGGCTGCAATCCTTGGTTCAGTAAGATTAGGACTTTTTTTGAGAGTTAGAAATAATGTTTTTTTTTTTTTTTTTTTTTTTTTTTTTTCTGTGATTAAAGTTAGAACACAGTTTCTAAATATATGAACATAACTTTTACCCCTGCAGTGGGTAGGACCTCCAGTAATGGATAGTTTTTCTGACACTGAAATGCAAATCCCAGACTCACCTGAGGAATCCTGACAAATAATTAACAGCAGCAGAAAGCAGCGGGCTGATTTGCTATTTGCTAAGTGAGTGCAATACTCCTTCACCTGCTTTTTCTTACAGACAGAATAGTATGACAGACAGGCACTTAGGACAAAGTTGGGGTTGTTTTTATTTTTTGAAACCGAAGCTGTCCGTTCCCCCTGCGTCATATAGTCAACTTTCAGAAACCTCATTTTCCTGGGAAGACTTCCAGAAGGGTAAAGCATTATTTTAGCTTGATTTTGCATAGAGTCAGGATGATTATAAAGCTGTGTTTAGCAAAGTGACTTTCAAATGGCTGACAAAATCTGTGGGTTTAAATTTCTAGTAGATAGGCAGATGGCATAGCACCTAAAGAAACTGAGCATTATCCTTTTTTTTTAATGTTACAACTCAGCTGGTGATTATTTTACTGTTTCAGTAGATCTCAATAACTATACATCTTTTTCCCCAAATGGTAATCACTGTGATTTGGTAGAGCATGAGGAAAGGCCCAGGAGCAAGAGCCTCATCCAGCCCCAGTCTGCGGAGAGATACCAGTCCCAGACGAGACCCACCCTGCCTGGTGTGGGAGGGCATCTGCATCCCCTCGCACAGTCTGGGTCAGGAGGGGACACCAGGGCTGTCACACACACCATGGCCTGCTTCTCTGTGAGGGGACACCAGGCCTGAAACACACACTGCGGCCCTGCTGTTCTGTGAGGGGACACCATGGCAGTTACACACACCCTGGTGCTACACTGAGTCAGTCACACCCACCATGGCCATGCCCAGTCTGTGAGGGGACACGAGAGGGAGGGGGTGCCACACACACTATGGCTGTGCCTGATCTGTGAGGGGACACCTGGGAGGTCACACCCACCCTGGCCATGCCCAGGCTCTGAAGGGACCCTGGGCCTGCACCATGGCTGTGCCCAATCTGTGAGGGGACACTGGTTCAGCATGGGGCCATTTCTAGCAGCCTTTAAAGAGTTTCACTCACCGGCTGCCGCCGACCCAGTTCATTTTCTACTGCTGAGAAAGGAGGGAGGGCTGCTGTGGGTGGTGCTGCAGGTGGAGAGGAGGGGCAATGGCCGCCACAGGGATGGTTTGCTGCCTCCCAGCAGGGCCACAGGGCCCTTCTGCAAGGCGGCCTCCTCCCTGGGAGCGCCTGGGCAGGTGCTCTCCATGCCCTCAGGCTGCACAGTGCTGGCAGAGAAGGTGGAACAGGGACAGACAGCAAAAGGAAAGGATGCAGAAAGCCACAGAGGGCAGGATAATGGGGAGAAGATGGTGCTCTGATTGCTGCCACCCTTCCTCTACCACTGGCATTTCTACACAGGCTGCTGCTAGAAGCCATATGCCCTTTGGCAAAAGAATCACAAGACTCTTGCTGTCCCAAGTGAATCAAATTCACAGTTATTGGAGTGGGTTACACAGATGTTGACATTTTGTCTTTCAGGCCCAGCTTGTTACTGTTACAAACACCATAACTTCTCGGGCAAGAGCGAAGCACCTTCCTCTCCATCCTGCTCTTCCTCAGGTATTTTAAGGGAAACAGGGGAATCAACGAGCATTTTCTACTAGTAGGCCTTGTTGCCCTTGGAGCTGCCTGATGAGCTTTTGTGTGTAAATAGCAACAAACCCTCAAGGAGGGACACAGGGCTATGGGAGCTCCCAGAGCATCTTGGCAGCAATGCAGCTACCCTTGTTCCCTTCCCTGTGACTCACTGCCATCACTTCAGCAAGTGAAGGCACCCATTTACTATTCTATATGAATCTTTTTTTGTGGTGTTTCTTTACTGAGTTATCTTTAGGCTAACGTTTTTCAGGGTACTAATGTTCAATTACCATTGGTACAACAATGTGAAGAATGCTCAGAGCAGATATTAGGAGCCTGATATTAGAAATGACCCAAGTTTTCTTCTTTCTAATATTTTTAATTTTGCTAGGGTGTTTATAAAATCCACCACTAAAAGACTGTAAAAGTGAAAAGATCTGCTTCTCTAAAATATCACTAATTAAACTGAATAAACTAACTGGACAGAATGTTTTATCGTTGTGATACCCCCAGTATTTCTGATTAGTATACATAATTGTTTCTTGTTAACAAACTAGATTAAAATCTTCATAGTAAAATATATCTGTATGTTAAGCATGTGTGCCTCTACAACTATGACAGATGATGAGAGACTGAAAGTTTATTTAACTTATTTAATCACTTGAAATAATCCTTTTTATTTTATTTGCATTTCCATCTAGAATAAATGATTAACTATGTCTAAGAGGTAGTTTCAGGCATGGCATAATCAAATGCCTTCTACTTTTGTTTTTCTAACATACAATATTTTCTGTACCACCCTTACTCTTCGACAGCATTATCTGGATTTAAAGGAAAGGACTGCACTCTTTATGTTCGATTTAATGAGTCTGGTAGTTAGCAGTAGTTCATAGAATCCAGGAAAAGTGATGTGGCAGATTCAATCAATTATTTTTCAACGTAAGAAATCTTCCCCTCCTCAAAATTTTTCTGCAGCTAAAGCTGAAATACCTTTCAAATGGTCATAAAATAAAGAATCAGTTCTTTCTTAGATGAAGGCAGTAAGCAGTGAAATAAGATGAGACACATATGACTCTAGATTCCCAGTGTTTACATATTCCAACTTGATTGTCAACATTTTAAAACATTGAAATAATTGATCTGAATTTCCAAGTGATGCCATACTTTCAAAGAATTGCAGGACATGATTATTAATTTTTAAAAGGTCACGAGTTTCATGGAGCTTAGTTGCTTCTCTGGAAAGTGAAGTAAATATAGAACAAGGAGACTTCTTCTGTGTGTCAGAAACAGAAATTTAAAGAAGAAAAGAGCTTTGAAGATTTTCCTTTTTTAGTAACTTTTTAACAGCCATTCTCTAGAATATCTAACTACATCTCATGTTCCTTTGTTAAGAAAGTATTATACAGGAACTTCTTCAGAACGGCTTTCCAACCTTCGGCACTTAAGTTTTCCCCTCTGACATGCTTCTTCATTAGCAGATCAGCTTTAGATATAAGTGATGTAGCAAAACAGTCCAAAGCAATGTACTATCTATCTGATGTAAGACTGCATTCCATCAGGAAGGCTGGTGTTGAAACGTTGACCGTGCAACTTTCGGCATCCAGCTTTGAGTCCTCACAGAACTCTTCTATAATCAAACAAGATGGAAAGGGGTCTTTTGATGGGTGACTCAGAGCACCTAAGTTAGGCTCTTCCTCTATGTCTCAATGCCCAGAGAGGAAGCAGCCAGGTTAGATAACTGAAACTGCATGAAGTGAAAGTGTGTGCTACTGTCTGCAGCATTATTGAAGATTTTAACACCCTTCCTTACCTAAGCAGGACAGTTTTTCCCTTTGAGTGAACAGACACTGCTTATGTAAAATTTTGTAATCACTGGAGACAATAAGAGAGAGAATGTGTTTCCAAGTAATACTTAGAACTAACTGTAAATTCACTAGTGAAAGATGCATCTTAGACAAAATATTATCAGTAGTGAGAATTATCCAACTTCCCTTGTTTAGCCTTGTTCAAGGCTAAGAACTCAAGTATTTGGCCTTGTTAGAAACTCCCTTGGTTTTACCCGCTGAGCCCTGGCCAAGCTTTGGGTGGAATCCAACAGGAGAATCAAACCAGAAATTTTCCGCCCAAAAAAAGGTGCCAGCTATTCTGGTCTGTCGATCTCTGGTATATAAGGCTGGGCCCGCTCACAGCGACTTTGTCAGCCTCACCTATGGGTGGACGCACCGCGTAGGATTTCCCCCTTGCCGGGACAGGCTCTCCAAACCCTCGTTGTTACCGGGGCTCCCCAGCCACTGTGGGGCTGGATGATGGTAACATATGCAAGTGGTGATGGATCTTTCTTAATCTCTGTTCTCTCTCTCTCATGTAATGATTTGATGTATTACCCTGTATTTTCCTGTTTGCTGCTGTAAGTGTACTATTCTGCTTTTTCTTACTGCATGTTTTCTGTATTACTCTGTTACACTGATTATCACTAGTAAAATATGCCTACTCTTTTCACTCTGGTGTCTAAATGGTATCCTTAATCTGTAACACAAAGTTTTAAGGAAACTAAGAAGACATGAGATAAAAGGGAAGGTCCTGCCATTGGCTAACATATAGAAGAGAGAGTGGAGAGAATATTTAGTCCATGTATCCATGCACTCAGGGGCTGGGGCCGATCTGGACCAGAGACTGACAAACTCATGAGCAGTATGCAAAAGTTGCAGCGAGATGAGAGGAGGGGGAGAGAGAGAACTAGAGAGCTCGATTGTTGAATGCCTCTTCCAGAACAGGCATACATGGCCATGAAGTGGAGCTTGTAGGAGCCAGGATCAAAGCAAGCAGAAAGAAGCAGTTCTTCACAAACAGGATGGTCGATCTCAGAAACCGCTTGCCAAAGATGCTATTATTTATGTAAGAGCTTACACGATTTCCAGAGAGACTGGACAAGTGCTTTTAAGAGTGGAATATTTCACAGAAGAACCTCTCAGACTCATGAAATTCTCACAGCTGAAAACTGCCAGAGGTTGTGAGAGTATAAAGCTACAGCAGGGGAGGTAGCATCGTACATAATTGCAACTCTTTTTCTTCCTTGGGTATCTGCTTAGAGCTATTGTTAGAATACTGTGCTTGGTGGAGAACTGGCCTAAACCAGTGTGCTTATTTTTAATATTTAGAAGTCTCACAAATAAGAGTTAATGAATAATTTGCAGTAGAAGATATTTTTGTTGACGTACCTACCAGCTGCAAACTCTCAAATTCTTGAGGCATGACAAAAGGATGGCAGTAGGTGTCCTATGTGGGGTACATGAGTAGGATAGATTATTTTTGTGGATTTATTCCTGCCTGCACTTTTGCAGAGTAGAACACTGGCTCTGCTGTGGGCAATGCCAATATAACCATTGCTAATTGATATCAGCTACATGATTTTACCACTATTGCACTTGGCATGTAGCTTGTTTAAGTGTTTACAATACACTTGAGAAAAGGATTAACAAGGTAGTGTTAGCATTTTCTTCAGATGATCTGAGAATAGAAACCTTCACAGATATAAAGCAAAAACTGAAAAACATTAGTAACATATTCAAGACTTCTTAAGGCATGAAATAGACACATTTCACATAATTGTTTTTTTCTGGAATTGCTGGGTTCAGCTGAGTCATCTGTATGAAATAAAAAATAAATTTGACAAGAGAAATATGTCTAAAAAAATCCAAATATTAAAGTTTTTAAGTATTAAGGTCTAAATATCACAAGTGTAGTTCTTTGTCTATGATCAGTAGTCAGCAGTTCACTGCGATTGGAGCAGCTGACACTGACCTTATCTATCCTTGGCCTTTTCCCTCTCCCTGTCTCTCTGTAAAGGGAAAACAACTTGTTTACACTTCTTTATAGTGCTGTATTCTGTCTAGAATCATGGTGGTCTCAGAAGTCAGAACTGTTTGTGATCAGTCTGCTATTGATTGTCTTGTCAGCCAGCTTACTTGAATCCCTTATGGATAAATTCTCATAACCTACAAGTCATGCAGGGTTGAAATTTACAGCATCAAGTATCTATCTACCTAAAGACAGAATAAGGGGAAGAGGACTACGGTGGTACAATGCCCCCCATTTACACCATCTCTGTGGTGCTTACACTCAGAAGACAAACAACAGAGAAGGACCTTCCTGTTTCCCCTCTTCTCTCTACCCTCCTGCCATAACACATCTCTGCCTAGTCTGGGTACCACACAGCCTCATTAGGACCAAAACAGCTGGAACCAACTGCTTGGTAGGATCAGGCCAGCCTTGCCACAGTGACGCTTCTTCAACAAGCTTCCACATCTGTCACATTAAAACTGAAACTTCTTGCTTGGCTTAGGTCTCCAGTTCCTAAATGAATTACAGTGTCTGGATAGTCTACTAAGGTATATGATTATAGCCAACAGTTTCCCTTAAACCAGGCAGAATGAGCAGACAATTTCTGCTGCTACAAATCTGAAAT